TGCCAGTGCAGCCTGTAGCGTCTTCGTCATACTTTCCAGATCGTCGGCAAGTAGTTTAAATTAATTCTTGCTGCACGAGACAAATGTGTGTTAAGGGGAGATACTACCTTTGAGACTTAAAAATAATACTTAAATTTGGCAATTGTTTGCAGTAAATTAATAAAAGTGTATAAACGGTGTGCATGAAATTTTGTACGCCATTGGATCTGGATCTGCAACAAAAATCCAAAGAATTTTATTTTTTACATACTTAAAGCTATAGAAATATGAAGGATTTTTCCAAAACATTGATTTTTGTAAAATGATAAATATTTGAAAAAAATTTACGATTTTCGACCAAAAATTTCCATCTTTAAATATTAATAATAAAACAATTTTTCAATATATCGCAAAAATCCTACTTTTATAGCTTTAAATATGTAGAAAATAAATTTCTTTGGATTTTTATTCCAGATCCAATGGTGTACAAAATTTCGTGCACACCGTTTATATAATCACTGAAAAAGGAGGCTCAATGGTTCTACTATAACGCCGCCAGCTTGTGAAATAAAAATAAAAGAAATTTTTTTGTACTCTCAAAACTTTATATATTAAAGCCCTTCAAAACCATTTTTGATTGACTTTATTACTTTACTGCAAAAAATTGCCAACTTTAAGTATTATTTTTAAGCTTCAAAGGTGGTATCATATCTTAATACTTTTTATAAGAATTTCAGAAATAATTTTGCAAATCTTTTAGAAACTTTGTGAGAATTACTGTGTAAAATGCTTATATCGAAGAATGAAGTATTTACACATCAACTAACAAGTACTGAGTGACGGAATAAATACACAGATGCTCTAGCTTAGCTTGCTTACTTCTCGCAGAATTTTTTCTATTGTATTATTATAGATTATAAATGACGATAAACGTAACTATCCTCGCAATATTATATTTTTATACTAGGATCCAAGATATTTATTGATTTTATCTATATTCTTAACGACGTGTCATCTTAAGAGTTGAAGCTAATAATTTCGATAAAGTGCTTTATAAATAGTATGTAGAAATTAATGCGCACAATATATTTTTTGTAAATTGAAGCTACGTAAATTTATTTTTGTAATAATAAAATTTAATTTATTAAGAATTATTCATAATTAAGAATAATAGCTATTCAATCTCGAAACGCAAACTCTATTAAACTATTGTAGTAATATCACGAGTTAAATTAACTAGCAATATGACAATTTGCTTTTTTCGCAATTTAAAACGATCTTAATAGTGTTGAGTGACATAATAAAATCTGTAAGTAATTAATTCTTATTGCCTTAGTTAGAAGTCGAACCCGGATCTCTTAGGAGAGATGCAAGAGATGCGGGTTTGACTTATGACCGAGATAATATTTTTTGCAATAAAAATTAATTATTTACAGATTTTAATATGCCACGCAGCATTATTAAGATCATTCTAATATGAAAAAAAAAGCATCAATTTGTTAAATTGCTAGTCAATTTAAATCATCGTGATATTACGGCGATAGTTTGATAGATTTTGCATTTGAAGATCGAAAAATCATTTCGGCGCATATTTTAACAGACTATGTATATATAGTATATGAATACTTACGTAGTATATAAATACATAGTATATAAATTCACAGACTCACACAAACATTTAAGATTCAGTTAGACCATTTAAGGTATTGATTTATATAGATTGTGTTTCTTACGTATATATATGGTCCTATAAGATATAAATAATTATTTATTTATTAAGAATCTATTTATCAGAATTTGGTTTGCTTTCTGTCTTGTGACTCATTGTTAAAAGCATTCAATATATTGAATGAAAAACAAGAATGGCACAGGTACTGACTTACAGATTTAGAAACGAAAAGCATATGTATAATATAATATTACTATTCTAATGGGAGATCAAAATTGGTTGTCATTCGAAATTGGCTAACAAAAAGTTAATAATTCAATTATCATATGACAGAGCATTTATTTTTTTTTATTCTATATTTTATTGGATATAATATTAACTTAATACACAATAACAAAATTGTTGTTGTGTAATATTGTTTGCAATAAAAGCGTCGCGAATATTATTTACAATAATTTTTAAAAAATTAAAGATGATGATTAAATTTGTCTTCCCTTTCTTGCGTTTTTAGATTTTGGTATTAATCGCGATTTAACTATAATCGTGGGAAATATTATCCCTTAGATAATTTTTAGAATAGATAGTTAATTAATCATTATAATAAAATAAAGTTAATCATTATATAAAATTTGTAGTTGATCGAATAATCGTCAATCTAGTCGATCAAATTATTGAATATGTAATCAATTTTGGACAAAAACCGGCAGGAGTTTACTACCTAATTACATGTATATGTCACTTTTCCATTAAATCAGAATATTGAGATCAAATAAATACAGAATGGTCAATGGAATCAAGTTGAAACTAAAAAATGGTTATTACTTTGCAACATGTGGGCCGGATAAAATAAATCAAATACCAAATTTGAAGAGAAAATTTGTTATCATCGATTTTATTATTATATATATATATATAAACATGAACGATATGTAATTATTTAACAATAGAAACATTACAAAATAAAGGGCAAAATATATGCTTGCGTATGATATGACTCATGTCCTCCTTTTCCGCCAGGAAAAATTTCTGTTGACGTGTACGTTCACGGTCGTGGTTCACGCCTTGTAAGTATCCAGCATTATACTTATACTTACAGTTCCATTATTAACGTTCCTATTGTTAATAAGAGAGAAAGTTATTTCTGTTTACTTGAATAATGAATATGCGATCCGTATCGTCGGCCACTTGATCACGAGGCGCGCCCGAACGTGACACTATTAACTCATATGCGTATTTTTGCCTCTCTTTTTGTAATGTTTCAATTGTCAAATAATTATACATTTTTTTTCCATATATGTGGTAATAATAAAATTGATAATTTTCTGCTCAAAGTCACGTTTAATTTATTTTGTTCGACTTACGTGTTGCGGAGTAATAATATAGCTTCAATTCATTCTCATTGGTCACTATGTACATCTGCAGAATTATCGAATAATGTTTTCTTCTTAATTATGGGTGCTTTCCGTTTAATGCATTTGTTATCATTGTTATTCATAAAATAAATAAATAAATATAAATAAATATAAATAAATATAAATGAAACATCATGCGCGTCATGCGTGAAACAGAATGCGTCATCATTTATGTATATGTGCTATCAGATACTTATTACAAAGCAATATAACGTACAAAAATTCAAATATAACGTACAGAAATCCATTGTAATAACTTTTATACACTACTCAAAACTACGCAAAAATATTAAAGAATCACCTAGTCCTCAAGAATATTAAAGAATCATCCATCCTCAAAAATAGATAAATATTCAAAAGAATGTAACTTCGTAAAAAATGATCATAACGAGATTTACAAAAAAATTTTAAAGTTTGAAATCTTTACTTTCGAAATCGATAATTGATATTTCGATATGACTGACTTTTACGGAGCTGTACAAACAGAAATGGATATCTGTAAAAAATCTGAAAATTTTGTACAAAAAAGGGAGTATAAAATTGGCCAAAATTGGTCTTGAATGGACACCTTTGCAGTTGTCATTTTGGAAATCCGTGCATGAAAAAATACTTAATTATTCAGGAAAGCTTGAGAAACCTTCCAAAAATAATAAAATAGTTCATTTAAACGCTCTGCAAAGAAACTCATTTTATTTCTAATGAATGATAAATTTAAAAATTAATATACATCTAACACAAATAAATCGAACAGCTTGAATATTTCGCTTATTTTTGATGATACAAAAAAATGTTTCAAATGAAAGTGGACGGATTTCGAGGGGGATGTATTTTGATCATGTTGGTTTTTTTTTAGGTAGAAGTGCCAAAAAGATATGAAAGTTACCTCCACTTTTTTTAATGGAATTTATTTTATATGATTTTTTTTACACAATGATTTTTATGACTTTTTCGTGTATCAAATCTCATAGAGTAATGTCCACGTTTTTGTGATTCTTTTCCATACTATTACATGAATTAGACAAAGACGAATAATCAACTTTGATTGTATAAGTGGTAAAAAAAATAAGGTATGATAAATTTATGATTGATGTTACAATTAGACGATGTTAATAATGTAAAATTAAAAAACACAGAATATACAAAAATTAAACATTCGTGAAGTGCACTACAGATTTTCAGTATTTGCAATAAATAGCAAAACCCGCAGTAATAAAAATTTTTAAAGTCGTTTTCAGCCTCTTTGACGCTATTCTTTTAAAAATTGTGACGATAGTTAAATTTGGTCAACGAATTCATGTTCAGTACACAAAAATATATATTTATGTCTTTTACAATTAATGTACAAATCACGAAATAATTTTTGTCCATGAATAAAATATTTAGCATGGTATTTAGCATGGATTTATTTGGTATACATACACGTTTTATGAATAATGCGAGTTATATTAATATTTAAATTGATTTAAAAAAACGAATTTAATAAAAAAAATGCTTAATATTTAATATAATCATAGATACGTCAATAATTTTTATAAGCATTTTTATATGTACTTAATAAATAATGTAACTAATAAGAAATTATTTAATATATCTGTTTATTTGAAACATACTAATATTACAACAAACATTACAATAATTTATTTGAACTTAGTATAATTATTTGGTAATCAATTCATATATATTTATTTAATGTACGTAATTGAACTGTTTTTACTTATTTTTTACATAACGACCTTACATTTATAAATTTTAATTGATTTTAAAGAGAACTTATACATTGATTTTAAAGAGCAAAATATACTTAATGCATTTCGTTTTATAATTTTAAATTTTCTTAAATTATTATTCACTTGTATATATCTACTTGCAAATAAATGATAAAGTATTATCTAACTTAATGAATCAGTCTTTATAAAGTATTTCTGAAAATACAAGAGAAGCCGTAATAACATCTTAATATTACATAGTTAAATAAGATTTATAAAACTAAAAAAAAGTTTAAATCTCGCGTATGTCCAGCTAATTTAGAAATTACCAATGTGATAATTAATATACAAAATATAATAATAATTGTATATAACACAATTATTTTCGACTACGGACGTCAGGGTTTACTCTGTAAGATTCAAAGAAATCATAAACTTTAGATTTCTGCCACATCTGTATGAGTATTAGAACCATTAGGTGGAGTAGTCCATTTTGTCCATTTGTTCCAATGATCTTGAAGTGCTTGGCGAGGATCTATGTTCATATAAAATGTGACTTTAAAAAATAGAAAAAGTGATAGAGTTATTAGTATTTAATGTTACAATTATACCGGATTAATAAGCAAAACATGTAATTTTTTAATGAATTTGATTAGTAAAATTTTGTCAATATTTAATATTTAAATTTTATATTTGTAGTTTATTAATGTATTGCATATGTAAAATCGTATTTATAGTTATTAATTGTATTTATAGTTGGGAAACTATTATGCTATGTCAGATAAATCGAATAACATTTAGCTTTAATTCAATTGTAAATATATAAATGTAAAAAACTTATTTTGTATATATATATATATATATATATATTAAAAGTGAAAAAAAGAAAAAAGCCTACATAGTAGAATATTCAATTTAATGCGCTTTTGTCATATGTAATATACAATGCACTTGATGATCAATTAGTGTAAAAGAAACACATAGTTTAAAAAAAAATACGTGTGCAAAATGGATAATTTTTTAAATAAGCAGTTATGTATTTTCTTTACACCGATCGATTTACCTTATTATTCTGTTCCTAAAAATAGAAGACTGTACTTTGACAATATTGTTTTTGCAAGTGAAGATCACCAAGGTCGCTTTCATTTTTTTCATAGAATTAACTTTTTTGTGAATAAGACCTCCACTTTTTTTTTTATAAAATTATATAATTTTTACATAATATGATTCTTCTAATTATTCTGCACATAAAAGCACCAAAGGATATCGAAAAATCAATAGTTTACTAAATGTTTTGTATTTTATTCTGACAAATTTGACAAAAAAAATCTAGAATATATTTATTTTTTATAATTGTATCTTAATATTTGTATGTATAAAATAATAAGATAAATCAATTGATGTAAAGAAAATACATTGCTTTTTAAGTAAAAATATATATTGCATAATTTATTTTCTAAATCTATATATTTTTTCTTTACATTAGTTGATAGCTCATGCTAACACTTATGAAATTAATGAGTCTCAAATACTTGACCTTAATCAGAAAAATGATTGTTAAAGAGCAGGAAAAATATAACAATTTAATGTTTCAATCCTAATGATTACTCTGTAAGTTACTCTCTAAATTTTTTGGAACAGAATCTCACTCTAAAGAATGAAAAATGAATCAGTTTTCAAAAAAATGTGATTCAATTTTCAATCCTTTAATAGCGAGATTTTGTTCTTCAAAGTAATATTCATTCTAAAAGTTTTAGAGAATATATTTGAAAAAATAGAGATGTTTAATTCATAAGATTTATTTTCAGTTATTGTATGATAAATGTAAAGTGAATAATTACTCCTTAAAAACTCTTGTTTCTTCTGTGTTTTCAGATGAAGCTGTAGAGTCTTCTTCAGGTTTCATTCTAATTATAATTATGTTCTTGTTCGTATCGCTCATGTCCGTTTGCTTTGTAATGATTTTCCTATATTTATATATGAAAAGATATGAAGATCATCTCCACTATTTTAAATAGAATAGACTTACATAAATTTTTACATAAACTTTTTTAAAAAATATTTAAAATATCAAAAAATCAATAGTTTATGAGATATTTTATATAAAATATAAAACTTATTTTAGATAAATTTATATAAAATATAAAACATCTAGAATAAACTATTCATTTTTTAATAATTGTATTAATATTTTTACAGATAGGATAATAAAATGAATCAAATAAATAAAGAAAACACATTATTGCTTTTCAAAACAAAATGTGTAAATTGCATAACTTTTTTAAAATCAATTGTATATTTTCTTTGCATCGATTGATGATTAATGCTTACAATTCATGTTAACACTCAATTGACAAGTCTCAAATATCCGACTCTAATTGGAAAAATGATCATCAAAATGGAGAAAAAATATAATTTATTTTCAACACAATCCTAATGATTATCCTGTAGATTATACGAGGGCTATTCAGAAAGTAAATCTTGTTTTTAAATTTCGCCGCCGCGATGGTGCGCATGGATGACAAATTCGTTGGTAAAGGGTTGACGCAATTTTCAATTATTGGTTTAGTGCATACGCCTAGTATGTGTTTTAATGTTTAAACAAATAGGAAAAGACACAATACCCGGTGTCCCGATATAATAAGTGCATCATCAACAATGGCGATAACTATGTAGAAAAATAGTATAAGGTATGTGCTTTAAAAAGAAATAAAAATTTTCTGTAAGTATACATATATACTTGTTTTCTTTTAAGCCATCGGAACTTACTTTCTGGATAACCCTCGTATGAATTGAAAAAGGCAATATTTACTTTATAAGACTCATTTATATGTATTGATAAATGCAAAACAAATAATTACTTGCTAAGAGAACATTCTGTTTCTTCCGTGTTTCCGTTCAAATTATTAGATGAAGCTGCTAAGTCTTCTTGAGATTCTATTTTTTTTGTAGTCGTATCCTTGTTTGTATCGTTGCTCATATCATCCGCAAACTTTGCAGCGATTTCCCTATATTTATGGAAGGATTAAAGAAATGCGACGGAGAAATGTAAATTAATTTTAATCATGTATACTATTCTGTTATAAGACAAAAATTATCGTTCTTATACGAAAAACTATTTATACAATTTAGACGGCTAAATTTTTAAAACCATTTTAAAAAATTTCTTTCAAAATAAAAACACTCAGAATATTTTATATATGTGTCTTTGTATTTATTATTTAAAAAAAAATAATTTATTATGTCTTAGGAATATAATAAAAAATATATTATTTATTAAATACAAGATTTTAGAAGAAAATCTTTTAGTTGTATCCCAAGATTTAATTTGCGCAAGTTATTAATTTGAAACAATCCAAAATTTAATTTCATGTTCATAGATGTAAATTATATATAATATATATATATATATGATTGTGAAGTTCGAAACAGATCAGAAATGAGACAAAAATTAATTATAAATAGAATATTGAAAACGTGAGTCATATCATTTGTAATTTCTAAATTAATTACGCTAGTAAACTAATTAATTTCATGTAAAATTTAGTTGAAATAAAAGTTAAAATAAAATTTTATATTTTTACTTAACAGTGCTCTTGTATAACGGAATAATTTCAATAATTAAAAAAAAAAACCTTTCAGATAAAATTTATATGGTTTAAAGAAGGACATAAGATGGTGTCATTGGAAATTTCAGAATATTTCAGAATTCACTTGTATGAAAAATTCTGAAAGCTGTAAACTTTCCGAATATTTCTGAGCATTTCTAAAAAATGTTCTAATTTATATAAAAATTATGAGAAAAATTTTCACCGGGGAAGGCTTGAAAGTTACACTATGGCCGACATTAGCATTACTTACAAAAAAAATTTAATAAAATTTTAATCGTTATCAGGTGTTAAATAAGATTTCGTTACTCACATCTTGTATTAATACCTGCTAATGATTAAAATTTTATCAGGCTTTTTTTTTTAAATTAAAGTATAAAATGTCACTGACCGGAAACTTTTGCACGCCATTATATGTGTCTTTTTATATCATATTTGCGAAAATCAATTTAATGCTTATGTTAAGTGCATTGTTAAACACATACATTTTCCTTAGCTATTGTTCTGTTACTATCAATTTTACATTCTTCAGTATTTTATTCAATTTTTGAATATACTGTATGAGAACTTACCTATGAACGCGTTTTAAGTGTAAATTTAAACACCTGGTTGTTGATACTATATTATATGTTTTATTACAAATGTTGCATATAGCAGTCATATTGTTTCCTGGTGTAAAGTAATCCCATATCCAACTGATTTTACGATCTTCCTTTTCCTTTTCTGTTAATTTGTCTGGATGGACCAACCTCAAGTGGCAAGGTAATTCAGGTACATATTTATAACTAAATACTTCAGAACAATGATTGCATTTTGCTTTATTTGTAGTTAATTTTGTATAATTTTTACGTATCCAACGTCGAACTGGAATCCGTTCGTCATCTTCTTCTTCCTCCTCTGTAATCATAAAAAAATGTTTTGTATTACAAAATATTAATTATTAACTTATAAAAGGTACATATAGATGTAATAAAATGATTGCGAGAGAGAATGCTGTTCACAAAAAGTCATGAACGAAAGTATGATTATTATTCAGAATAAATATAAATAATTGATATATTGTTTAAAACTATCTAATTAGCAAATAACTCAACTGCATTACTTACTAATTAATTATATTAAATTTATATAGTACGCAATGCTTACATACGAGAATTAGAAAACGAAAGTCAACTATGCATGTATTATAGCAAAAATTAATATCACTTTATAATTACTAACTTAAATTTAAAAAAAATGATTGTTATGCTAACGTAAAATAATAAATTATATTAAATTTATCTTTTTCTTTTCAGAGCAAAATTATTAACGTTTGATTATAAGATTATGGATAATAGATTATACATATTTATGTATATTTTTATATAATTTTATATATTTAAATATTGTAATACATAAAAAATTTTTTACCGGGTAAATAATTTAGTTTATTGCACTCCTGTTTTTTCCCTAAGTATTTGTTTGGGCCATGTTTTGCGTGTTTTGTGTTACATACACTGCAGTCGGATTTTTGTGTCGCCTTCTTGTCTCTGACTCTATTGGATTTCTGTGTTATCTTCTTTCTTAGACTATATTTCTTTAGTTTGCCTTGTAGGTTTCTTTCTCTAGTCTCAGCTGCTCTACAGTAATTAATTGCCTTTTGCAAATTAAGATCTTTCATTTTTAGAAATTTATCCTGTAATGCTTTGTCTCTTATTCCAAACACAATTTTGTCTCGAATCATTCTGTTGGTCATTATATCAAATTCACACATTTGACTCAGCTTTTTTATATCTGTTAAAAAGCTGTCAAATGTTTCATCTTCTTGTTGTATTCTGTTAAAAAACTTGAATGTTTCATGTACAACATTTTTCTTAGGATTGCAATGCTCTTCAAAACATTGCAACACTTTTGCCAAGTCTTTCTTCTCTGCTTCTTGGAGATTAAATTTATTGTATAATTCAATACCATCTTTGCCGACAATATTTAATAATATAGCAATTTTAACTTCATCTGATTTTATAATATTGTTTGTCATTTTTAAAAATATGTCGAAACTTTGCCTAACCTCGTGCCAGTTCTCATTAAGATTTCCATTTGCACCTAATCCTTTTGGTAGCTTACAAAGTAGTTTCATTTTACATTCAATACCGTTTGTATTTTCCATGACTAATCCCTCTCAATAATTAAGGAACTTATATCTTTTCTTCCTTTTATTATTACAACCTACTGCAATATGACTTTTAATATATACTTAACAACACTTCAAGACTGTACTATATTATATATACAATACTTATCGGAATACAATTATTTGTACACATTGATACGTTAGTAACAATATATATTGTAATATCCTTGAAAGAGTCATTTGTCTGCTCATTAATCTTGGTTAGTTTTCGAGTGCGTTGGTTCTGCGTCTTATTTCACCAACGAGCGTGGGGGAATCATTTTATCCTTGTTGTTCACCGACATTAAAGAAGGATAAAATAATATACATGCGCATTAAACTGGTTCTACATCAGTTGCAAGACGATGGCAAGTTTGTTGCGACAGCCAATATGAAACGTTGATTTCAAAATGCAAGCTCAGATTGGCTGTCGCAACAAACTTGAGATCAGCTCGCAATTAATGTAGAACCGGCTTTATGTGTGAAACAGAATGTGCCCTTCAATCTGAATTCATGAATGTGTTCCTGCATGCGTTTTCAATACATATTAGTGGAGTTTCTTCTGATACTCGTAATCGCAATCCATTATTCAAATTCACTACAAAAATCTGTAATACCAATGGAAAGTTACTTTTTAAAAGTAACAAGTTACAGTTACTCGTTACCGAGTAAAAAAAATAACAAGTTATTGTTACTAGATATCGATTTTTAAAAGTAACTCGTTAGTAACAGTTACTGTTACTTGAAACTTTTCGTTACTTTTTTAAAATCGACCAATCATAGCGGAAGGGCCTTAAAGACTTTTTAGTCTCAACCGCTATGCATTATCAGAGAGAAACCTTTTAATAGCAATATACGAAAAATTATTTTGTTATATTATGTAATATTATTAAAATTTGGATAATTACAGAAAATATTCAAAATATCCTGCTGTTTACGTAATTTTCATATAAAATAAGATATATATACACAATAAATGCAAATTTACATTTTTTTTGTGGAATTATATAATTTCCGTAAAATTTTGGATGATTTTTTTTATATTTATAGACCTAATTAAGTAATTAATGTTTTTATATCTATATTATATGTATAAATTTATGAAATTTTTTTCTCACACTCACAGTGTGAATGGCTTGTGTCGTATCATGTCTAATCGTGTGTAAAGTAACGATAAAATTCGTTATCGTTACCAAAAAAAATGTAACTTCGTTATCGTTACAGTTACTAAAGAAAAAAATAACGCAGTTACCAATAAAGTTACCAAAAAACTTGTAACTTAAACTTCGTACAAGTAACGAGTTACTTCCATTCCCTTGAATACAATTCCCTGTACATAAAATTATTGCCTTACTGAAAAAAGGTCATAAAATTACATAATGAAATCATATATAATTAAGCCAAGTAAATTAGGTAATGGATTGTTTCTAAATGAGTACGTAATTTTTTAAAATCACATAATTTGAAAAGTCACATAATATAATAATGTGTTTTTTCTTCTATTTCGTTTAATTTCTTAAAATTTGATAACTATAAGAAACTTGAATAAATTATTAACGTGCACTTTTTTTTTACAAATATCAATATTAAATAATCGATAAAGATGCTTAAAATAAATTGAAATAGTTAAATTTTTATTTTTATTTACGTAAAATTGTTATGACAGTTGTGTACGAAATAACAAAATAATTATAAATAGAAAATACCATGAAAAATATCAAAATTAAGAAATATAAGAATAAACCTAAAAGGTACTGACAATAATAAAGAAATTTTCTTTGTTTTTAATCCTTTAAAGATTCATAAACGTTTGAGAGAGAAATAATTATAGAAAGAGAAATAATTTTTTTAAAAATTGAGGTATTGAAAGTCAGGTTTGAAAGGCTCGAGAGCTTTGACTATACTACTATAAATGCTGCTATAAAAATATTGATCTATTTTTAACTTCTATAATCTTGATCACAGAACATATTATTTTTTTACATTATAGTATACGGAATAATGAAAATATGCTTATGACGTAAGAAACGTAATAAGCTCAAGAATTATATGATCAATATTGTAGATATACATACTTGACCCAAAATATAAAAATTATTCTCAAAGATTTTTGATATTTAAAATAATATCCATGTAGTATAATAACTAACTGAGAGCACAATACAATTTTTTGTTAGCATATGTAATATATTATATAATACTTTGTGTTACATATAATTCTTCTTGAATTCAAATATACGAATGTTTCAGCTTAATTCAGGCCATCTTCAGTGAATTACTAAATTAAATGAAATTGATGACGAACTCGTGATAAATATTAGGTACAACTTAATATAAGATTGTAGATAAATTAAAAATAAAATGACGTAAAAGCGTTGCTGTTTTTGTTTCAAATCTTTCCAATAGATCAATTTCTAAACAAACTTATTAATCAAACATTCACGAATCTTTTAAAAGACTAAAAAAACTTTGTCAAATTGTGATTTATTCAGATTTACTCTGTACACATTTACATATTTACAGGCTAAAACATATTCACATTGGAGTTTAAAAATATTTCTGTAAAGGTTCTCCTAAAATTTCTTCTAAAGTTCGAACAGCATTTTGCGCACACTTCTCTGTAGCTTCGTCTTCGTCTTCCAACATCTCCGCCAGGAATGGTACAGTTTCTGGCAATAGTGGCATAAAATCCTCGCCGAGTTTTCTCGCGATTTCCACCTAGATCGCAATAGCAAGTAATTATTAAAAGATAAATAAAGATAATTTAAATAAGAAATATAATAAAAAAACAACAGTGGAACAGTTTAATTTCTGTGTAAATCATATGTACATATAAGCGGTATAAACAGTTTTTAATAAAAAAATAATTACCTTATTAAATTTTATTTGAATATATTGAATTTTTTATTATTTTATAACAATTTATTATCTAAATTCTTTATGAATTAGCGTAATTTATTTTAAATGGAATTTTAAAAAAGATTCTAAACAAATAGATCTTACTAAATTTTAAAGCAATAAAAATAGGAACTTCACTGCGTAATACTTTTATATTATACATATAAATTAAACTTATTCACTACATTTGATCTTACCAATGCATTCAAAGCTGTGCTTCTGACATAAGGCTTTGCATGCCTCGTCTTCAGTAATGTTTGATAGACCAGTTGTTTGTGCAATGAATCGTCGGAAATGGCGCTAGCGAAAGAAGCTATACAAGGTACAATGAGCTGACTAGCTCGAATCTCATATTCTTCTCTCGTTCCCATTGTATTTTCCACTTGATCCACTATCGGTTGCATGAGAATCTCATATCGGTCCTCAACGACAACATTATGCACATCATAACTGAATACCCGATAAAGTGTCAACAGAATTGCCTCTACTAGCTCAATTCTGCTGGATTCATCGGGAAGCGTCAATTCCTGCGGAGTATCCGTTACGAACATGTTGTTGCTGCTCAGTAACGATGCCGCATGCTTCAAAAAAAGTCCAGCGAATAGAACGAATAGAGACTTCAAGCATTCTGCTATATTTGCTGATAATCTAAACAGAGAAATTAAAAGTCGCAAAGTTAGTAAGAATTAATGGATATAAGATGTACTATTTTTCGTTAATCTACTGCGTTAAACAAATTAAAATAAATTTCCAAATTCGTATTAAAGAAAAATCGTACATATTTTAAAGCATTTCCAGCTACTTGTAATTGATCTATAAAATTAAATTCATATTTATTTCAATTACGTAAAATCCATTTAATCTATTGATTAAAAGATAATATACAATAATAAGCGATATAAGTATTGATTAATTAAATGTTTAATGTCACGCGATTAGTATATTAATGTATAATTGCTTTGAAAAAGATCTACAATTATAATTTAATACGATTTAATTTTTATTGATTTTATATTGTTGATACCTATAGAATGTTATATTCCGTTGTTTATGCTGTGTATCATTCGCTGCCCATCCATAAAGTTTATCATAGAATGGTCTAAACGTTACTTCGCTCAATTTCAAGAGCAATGCTACCAATACTTTACTAGCGCTTTCTTCAACCGCGACGATGTCTTTTAATGTAATTTGTTGGTCGTTTTCCATATTATTTTCGATTCTTTCACGGAATTGAAGAACTTGGAGGAAGAAATTGGCGAGATTGTCGACTTCCACCTTCAATTCTGTTGGAGACACATTGTCAAAGGACTCTGCTAGCACACTCATCAAGGATGGTATACATATATAAGATTTTTTGTCTAATAGCAATTGGTAAGTTCCATTAACAGCTGGTAGCAGCACTCGCAGAGGTATGCAACTGGATAATTTCTGCGTTGTTGCCTTCAGACGCGAAATAACGATACCAGCCTGTCAAAACATTAATAAAAAAACAATTAAGTTTCAAAAAAACCAACGAAATTTCTGCAATAGATATCAAAATCTTGGTAGGCAAAACATTAAACATTTAACAATTAATACCTTAGGATGATCCGTGTTGGTATACTGAGAATTGAGCATTGTCAATTCGTACAAGAGTTGATCTAAGTAGAGCGACAGGAAATTTCCTAAAGATTCCACTATTTTTTGTAATGCACTCACGATGCTGATGACTATAACATCCGGCACATTTTGATAGCAATGAGTTTTTAGCAACTTCAAAATTGCAGGCACAAACTTATTCAGCGAATACAGAGCATGGGTTCGCATTGAACTGCATAATTCTGCTACACACAATGCTGCATTGGCTAATACTGGTCCATTTTTGGATTCCAACAATTCCGTCGTTATATCCAAAATCTATGAATAATCATTAGTATATATAATGTTAAATAATAATTATATAATTACATAATTATAATTATTATATTATGATATATATATATATATATATAGCATTATAATAATTATACTAAACTTAATAATATTAATTTTTCTGAAGATTATTTTAATAATCAAATATTTTCTTAGAAATATTATGTAAAATATTAAATAAAAATTTATTATTCAAATATGCGTACTGGTCTAAAAACAGTAGGACGGTCAATGGCCAATAATTTCGTCAGCAATTTCAAAGATATCAATACAGTCTGTTGTACAAT